ATATAACAAAGAATATGATGGATTACAAAAACATGAAAGTTATAAATAAATTTTTAATCATTTGAGACTTTCTGGAAAAAAAGCATATTATGTTGTTGTTTTTTTCTCTGAATTGCAATAATTTTAATTTATCAGATCTTTATTAGAAATTTCATTTTGTTTTCGTTTCTCACAATGTCTATTGTTATTGTATATAAATTATTGTTTGTAAATTTTTGCTTATGAATGGAAGATGTTTTTGAAATAAATTTTATAGATTATAGAAATTTAGAAAATATTTAAATGTATTTGTTCTGACAATAATTTGTGAAAGGTCTTGAAAAACAATTAATTGAAAATAAATGTTGACTCCTTAATTTGTATAGCAATCTTTATATTTAACATTTTAATAATGTAATTCAATCATTTAAAAAATTCTGTTATAATAATTACATTCATGTATAAATTTACATTTTTATGATAACAGAATTATTGAATTTAGTAATATATTAGGCCTAAATAACTTTTGTTTCTTAATTTCTGTATTCCTTATGTATCTTTTATTAATATTATTATGCAATTTGAATTGCATGAATAAAATAGATATGAAATAATACATTTTCTCTTCTGTTACTAACAAAACAATGATGACAATATTTGAGGAACTCAAAAACATACCCTAACATGAATTAATGTTATTTTTAACAGTACCTTAATCTAAAATTAACTATGGTTATTCTGAAATTTATTTATATTTTGTCATATTTACTTTTAGATATAATATTACTGCTATATATTTCTATTTTTAAATAATTATTGCATCATATCTGCTAAAATCTGAAAGTTTCTATATTTTTACTATTTTCAAATAAAGCTTTTATTTTTAATAATGGTATTAGTTGTTAGTTGTATGTCACATTAATCTAGAATTTCAGACTTATTTAATGGACTAAAATATTTAATATCAAATAATAATTTACTTTTTAATTTGAAAAAATGGTATATTCTTTACTTCAATGCAATATGTAAATAGTTCTTTCTCCCTCCAACTGGACTTAATAGTAATGTATAACACACATATCAAAACTTCACTAGGGTCCAGTGACAGATTTAAAGCATTAACAAACCAGAGAACATTCATTAGCACTTTAAATCTGTCACTGGATTATAGTAAGGTTTTGAGAAGTGTGTTATGCAATATGTAAAAATGTATGAAATTTTAAATGTTTTAGAACAACTTTCATCAGAAAAGTTTCAAAAAACAAACATTCTTAAAAATATTAACATAATTGTAATTGTCTTAATTGAATCTAATAAAAATTTTAAATTTGAGTCACTTATATCCATAATTTGAATAACTTGCACATTTACTGATACTATTAATGAAAATATTTAAATATGATATATAAAATAATTAAAATTTAAAACAAACTATTGGATAAAGTAGCAGTTGACATTACTTGCATGTTTTTCAAAATCTTTTGAGAATTGTCAATAAAACTGTTTCTCAAATGTTTGAGTTACTCTCTGTAAACTGCTTTCAAAGTGTCTCAGAAACATAAATGTGTCACATTAAAGGAAAAAGTCAATGTAATAAAATTAAATAAAAAATTTTACTTTCTCAAGTAAAATGAGCATAAAAAAAAAACTCAGCATTCTTTTCAAATTATGCAGCTGCACAATAATTGAAATGTTTCTGCACACTGCTGTTTAGCATGGTCTGCAACCATAACTGCCACTTTTGTTATGAACATTGCTGAATATGCAAACTTGAATATATTCAGTGGTTAAAAATATACAGTTAAATTTATACATAAAGAAATCTGTTTGTAACATGAATTACAGTATTATTTACTATGAATATATGTCTCTTTAATCTGAAATTAAGTTTGGTAGACCATCATTACAGTTTTCAGGTTAGACACTTCTTTTATTGTTTTCACATATGTGAAAACAATAAAAGAAGTGTCTAACCTGAATAAAAGTACATATGTGAAAAGAAGTGTCTAACCTGAACATATGTGAAAACAATAAAAGAGGTCTACCGAACTTAATTTCAGATTAAAGAGACATATATTCATAGTACATAATAACAGCTACCATAAGTGATATTTAGTACAGTACAGGCATACCTCGACTTACGTCGGTTTCGAGTTACGTCGTTCCCGATTATACGTCGCTTGTTAAAAAAGTATATGGAAAAATAAAAATCAAGTTTAAGTCATTTTATTCGACTTTACGTCTGTCCGCCACAAATATTGAAGTCGTAATATCACTAGATAAACGTTTNATCTCATAAAAAATGGTACTTAAATTTGAGCTAGTGTTTTAAGTTTTTTTTTCCCCACTGAGTAAGTTATAAAACTTGTTGTTTTGTCCTATTAAAAGTGGCATTGAAAGAGTGACAGTCTTCTAAATTGGAAAGAGTTTATTTTGTTCCCTTCACATTTTATTTTCATGTATGTATTGTGATCATACCAGAAATCCTAGTCCATATTACTGTCTCATTTGAACACAGGCTTTACTATTGCCTGCTGAAAATGACCATCAATTCAAACATAAGTTGTAATGAAATTTAAGCCTGTAATCTGTATTTTTATCATTTTTTCATCTCACCCAAATTTTTATCATTTGTATCACCCTCTAATTACTCTAACTTGGTTTTACTTTTTCAATTGTCAACACTAAATTCTGGCATTAAAAAATTAACAATGTGATTCCTCTGTTCATGCTTCAAAGCTAAGCTACTCATATAGCACAAACTTCCAGCATTTCTCTCCTATGGACAGTTATTCATTGTGTATTCTGTATAATAGAATTTTAATTTCTGCAAAGATATTTAAAATATATTGGAAGCATATTGTCTTAAACCTTTAATTATACCTGTAACATTTAAAATATTAAAACATCTAATCTTAGCTATGACTTCTAAGTAAATTTAGCTAAAAGTCACACAAAATAGAGGAATAAACACTTGCAGTGTAGACAGCAGTGATTTGGAAGAGAGTGCAATACTGTACTTTTGTGGTCATATGCATGTGGTGAGGTTTATTTTTACAAAGATGCATGTATTAAAACAATAAAACATGCTTTTATTTTGCCCATATATTTTACACTTTATTGGATCTTCTGGATTCCGACACTCCTAATTCCCTTTTCGCTCAAAAACAAAACCTTTTCGGATTTACAGTCAGAACAAAATTATCACGATACAAAGAAAATACTTATCAATAACTTAAATCTACTTACTCTAATAAGGAAAAGAGAGGAAAGGCTAGATAATAGGATAGATAGAAATATAGTTTCAAGCACGAATGGGTACTCAAGTTGGCGATCGAAGTGGCGGTGGTTGGATGATGCTGTCCTGGATTGTGGAGGCTGATTGTAGATGAAAGCCGATCAATATTTCACTTGGCTTTTCAGTCTTCAGATGTCCTTAATCACGATACTACTTTCCTCTTAGGGTCTCGGACCTTCTTTTCTTTCGAACCTTTTGTTACCTTCTCCAGTCAATGCAAAAACAACCTGGAGACCTCTCCGACATTTCTTCCCTCTTCCAGGTCCCAAGCAAAAAGTGACCCTCTCGTCTCTCCCTCTTGCCCTCTGGGCTATTCCTTTCCTTTGTCCTCTAATCAGGTCACCCACCACCCACACTTTGAAGAAAGTTTCAGGAACTATATACAAAGGAACAAAGAACAAAGAAGGAAGGAAAAATAGAAAAACATATATAAAACATATATAAAAAAATAACAAATACATTGGTGTACCATCACACTCTCTTCCAAATCAATATGCACTATGTGCAATACCATCGGTGGCCATTTAGTGAATTACTCTAGTGGTTACAAAAATTCTAGGTGCCCTCTCAATTCTGTCTAGATTTAAAGAGGAACCAGACCATCAGGTGCTGGAAAATCAATGGTCACTCTGTATGTCATGATATTGAAAACATTGAGGAATGCTCTTCTCATTAAAAATATATGAATGTTCTTTGGTATAATAAAGAATTTAGAATTGCACTCATGAAAAGAAAAATAGTGTGTAAAATAATTTAACAGTGAAAGATGGTGTTTACAGCAGTATTATATAGATGTTTATTGTTCTAACTTCTTCAATGTGTTCTGAATATGATCTAAAGGCATATTCAAGGAAGCATTACAAAGGTTAATTACATCTCACTTTTTTATTTTTAAAGTCAATATTATTCTTTTGAAATTGTTTAACTGAATAAATAACAAATATTTTAAGATAGAAACGTTATTATTTTTATTAATTTAAATACCTTAGTTTTGTTTGAAGTTTTTAGTTTTTTAATTTGCTTAGTTTTTAGTAATCTCATTGCAATTACTAAAAAACTGTTTTATAAATTGTTTATTTGTTCTCTTGCCAATTTAAAATTAATGAAAATAATTTAATATAAATCTTTATTCTAATAACAATAGAGAATTGACTCTTCTGAAGTTTGTTTGTATCATTTTATCAAATAAATTTTTTAGTAATAAATACACAATAGAAAATTTAAATACTATTTAGAAATAAGGAAAATGAACATCTACAGAAAATATAAAAAATGAAAACTGTTAAAATGACAAATCAACAGCTTAAAAATAATAAAATCAAAGTAGTCTCAATTTATTAGCATTTTCATTTTACATTTTCCATAAAGAAATAGTACAAAACACAAAGACTATAAAAAAAAATTGTCAGTTATAATTACTATTTATGCTAGTCTACTAATAAAAACATACATGAAAAGTCACATATAAAGATAGACTTCAGAGATTTGATTATAGAAAAATTGAGATTATTTTAAAATATAAAAAAGTAGTTTTTCTTAAAAGGATAAAAGGGAAAGATTAGATTAAATATCTCTAGTTTCTGTTTACCATAAATTAATTTTATCTCATATAAGATACCTGTTTTTCATTACCTGATGTATTCTTTTAAGAATAATTCAACACAAGATAGTTCATATTTATTCAAACTACACAATTATTTATTTTTCCATATACTCTTTCTAGACCCGATATAAAATTTCGTGAACAAATTCATGATGAATTAGTTCCAGATGAACCAAAGAAATCAATTTTGAAACGTGATAGTGCTTCATTTGAGGAAGGAAAAGAGGTGTGTATTAGTAACGTCCTTCTCTATTGTTATGCATGTGACAGTATTGTTTGACATAGCTCCTTTATAGCTGTCCTTGCCCGCCCTGTTGCAGCAGAAGAGCCCTGAGAGGCAGTTGTCCACAGATGGCAGACACAGCAAGTCTTTTGAAGAGAGGGAAGAAGAATATGTAAAAGTGCGAGCAAGGATATTTAAACAAGATGTATGTACCTTAACGAGCAAATTGTTGGCTGAACTGTTAATTAACTTAGCAATATTCTAAACGGTATTCATAATAGGGTGGGTAAGGTAGCTATGGTAATTGTTTGAGCTATGGTGTCTGCAAGTGCTGTCCTATATGTGATTTTAATAATATTTTGCATTTTTATAATATATTTTTTATTTTTGATATTTGTGTAGTGTTACAATCAAAAATATACAAAAATAATTTTAAAATATATTCAATATCCATATATTAGGTTGAAACTTTTATGAATTTATTGTTGTATAATACAAAAATTTTGTAGAAAGAAACTACACAAATATCAATTTATATATATAAATTTATTTGTTATTTCATTTTAGATATTGAATTTATATAACATGAATTTAGTTTGTAAAGTTTATTATAGTTATTTATTTAAACATTTTTATAAATTAAAAGTTATAGAATATTTAAACATTGTTTATTATATTTCAATATAAAATTTAATTTTTTTAAATTACATAGTGATTAAAATTTATAACAATGATTTTGGTAAAATATTGTCTATCATATGTTAATTTTTGTAGATTGAAAATAATTGTTTTTAAACTAACGTATAAAACTATAAAGAACTAAAATTTCAAACTATTTCCAAATAAAAAGTAATTGGTTTTTATATATTACCATATTGGATAATAAAATGCTTTTGGAAAAAATCAATCTTGTTTTATTAAAGCTGTATGATGCAAAAAATTTGAAAATCTTTAAATTTATTTTACAAAGTAGGATTATTTTTACATTTCATACATTTTTTATTAAACAGAATAAAAAACTTAAAAAGATATAAAATAGGTAAACCTCATAATTTCAAAGCTCAATTTTTTATATCTGTTTTCATGTCATTATTTAAAAGTAATAAAAGACTATCTTTCATGCTTTAATATGTGGTAGAAATAATATCAGTTACAAAATATCAATAAAAGCAAATTATATTTGATTTAATAAAATGTTAAAATGAATTTTCCTATTAATAATTTTATATGTTTTAAGAGTTACTATTTAGTATTTATTTCATAGCTATATTTTTTCAAACATAATGATACAATTAGATTAAAAATTCTAATAACATATATAATGTGTTATATAAACATTTTGAAATTGAATTATATAAGTTAAATTATGTTAAGCTATTTAATGTCCATTAATACAATAAATGAATATACTGTATATATTACTGTGAAAGACCGATATCTGGCAAATGTCAACATTCACACATTTGTTTCGTGTATGTACGAAATATTTGCTAAATATCATTATTTCTCACTTAACACCAGCAAATGTCAACATTCAGCATGCACTGATGGTGAATGTTGAATAAAAATATTTTTATTACGTTAAGACAAAAATGCAATTTTTTAATATGTCAAAATAGGAGAAAGCTTAAGTAACAGCACATGTAAATAAACTGTTGAACCTAAAACGAACAGTACATTCTAAATCATTAAAGAAAATAATACAATAATAAACGTACACATAAATTATGTTATTAACATTATACAATCTTATTTATTGCAACAAGTTAAAGTGTTATGGCACTTTGAATTGCACAAGAGTCCCTTGCTTTTACAACTGCATTTATTCGTGAAGAACTTACAAACTGATTACGGGTATAAAGCTGCTTGAGGGTACCATTTTTGTTTGTTAGTTTATAAAAGTCGGAGTCTTCTATTCCAACAACAACCGCCAACATATTTCGGGCATCTGTATGGCCACGGTCAACGTCAGGGACTTATATTTGTATGGTATCACCAATTTGAGCAGAAGGAAACAGCAAAGAATTTGGCGACAGATTGTCACCTCTCTATGGACATTGGCTTCTTGGGTGTTGTTTCGACCTCCACCAAAGCTTATCTGTTCTTGTTGACATACACCAGTGATTGTTCAAATGTATAGTAATACAGTTGTCCCTTGATAATCCGACAGGTATGGGACCAAAGGTGTGTCAGATTACCAAAAGTGTCCGGATTACCGAAAATAATTACATATTTCGCATTGTTTTGCTAGCAGTAACTTACAATATTCTCTACTCCAACTGTTCGAACAGAACTGCTCACATAAAACACA